TTTTCTTGTCATTAGTTTAGGAATAGAAATTTGCAATGTATAATACATTATGGATGCGCACAAATTGTTTTGTTAAAAACAATAAAGTAACAAATGCCTTAGGGATTACATACAATAGCCACATGTCACATGCACGCATGCAAGCATGTGCGTGTATATATAATATATATATATATTTATTTATTATGTATTTATATATTTATCATGTATATGTATATGCTGTTTATTATCGTATTGTATTTATATTAGCCACATGTCATAGAATTAAGCATTAGTATCTGTACAAGAATTGTATTTATGTGAAAGAGGGACGTTTATATGGCATGCGAACTGTCGCCATTCTCCAATATGATGCTGCACATGAAAATGGAGCAATAATAATGATAATAATTATTGTTAAATAATCGTTTAGCAATCGTTCATTTATGCTTGGCAATCATTTCACCCACAGTCGCTTCCTCAACGATTTTCGCTTTCTGCGCAGCTTTTTGTATGTGAATTTGCTCGGTGAGATTTTATAGTCTTCATCGAATTCCAATTCGATTTTAATTAGATTTTGCAAATTTAATTGGCAGTCCTGTGCGCAATTAACAAATAAATAAACGATTTAATATTAATGGAAATTTCATTATATAAATGCATTATGGATATATACATATATATATCATTTATGTATGTGGCTTACCTCGAGATTCTTGAAATGCCAACGTGAATCGCTCGGTGAGCCGCCATCGTTGGACAATTGACTGCGACAGGTGCGCATTGTGGGCCAGCATTGGCAGCGCTTGTTGGTTATTTCGCAGCCCGGCTCCAGCACAATCGACTCCTCCTGCGTACAGTTGCTGAGCTGATTAAAGGTGAGCGCCGTCAGGTGTTGCAGGTCTGTCACAAACAAATTATTGACCACGTCAAAAGCCAGCATTTAATATACATACATATGTATGATTTATCAAATATAAATGCTGCAAAATCATTCGATTTCAACAGCATTTCGCGTCATTTAAATCTGATTATTTCGCACATACATACATACAAATGTACATACATATTATTTTTAAATTAAACCTCCTGCTGCCAGCCTCTATTGTTCTTCTAGCGCCCACTGCAAATTACATTTGCATTTTGCATTTTGAATTTTGAATTTTCCTATCTCAACAGTTTTAGCGCTTGACTGGAATTTGTTGCACTATATTTACGCATGCAGATTTATACAATTCTATTAAGTCTAACATTTTATGC